GATATATGCCCAGGAGTGGGATTGCTGAATCATATGATAACTCTATTTTTAGCTTTTTAAGTCTCCTCCACACACTTCTCCATAGTGGCTGCCCCAATTTACCTTCCCACCAACAGTGTAGGAGGGTTCCTTTTTTTCCACACCCTCTCCAGCATTTATTATTTGTACACTTTTTGATGATGGCCATTCTGGCTGGTGTGAGGTGATAGCTCACTACAGTTTTGATTTGCATTTCTCTAGTAATTAGCAATGTTGAGCATCTTTTCGTGTGCCTCTTGGTCATCTGTATGTCTTCTTTGGAGAAATGTCTATTAAGGTCTTCTGCCCATTTTTTGCTTGGGTTGTTTGTTTTTTTGCTATTGAGTTGTATGAGTTGTTTGTATGTTTTGGATATTGAGCCCATGTCGGTTACATCATTTGCAAATATTTTCTCCCAGTTCGTAGGTTGTCTTTTCATTTTGTTTATGGTTTTCTTTGCTGTGCAAAAGCTTATAAGCTTGATTAGGTCCCATTTGTTTAGTTTTGTTTTTATTTCCATTACCCTAGGAGATGGATCTGAAAAGATATTTCTGCAATTTATGTCAAAGAGTGTTCTGCTTATGTTTTCCTCTAGGAGTCTTACAGTATATGGTCTTACATTAAGATTTTTAATCCATTTTGAGTTTGTTTTTGTATGTGGTGTTAGAGAACATTTTAATTTCATTCTTTTACATGTAGCTGTCCAGTTTTCCCAGCACCACCTATTGAAGAGACTGTCTTTTCTCCTTTGTATATTCTGGCCTCCATTAATTGACCATAGGTGCGTGGGTTTATTTCTGGGCTTTCTATCCTGTTCCATTGAGGTATATGTCTGTTTTTGTGCCAGTGTCATACTGTTTTGTTTTATTTTAATATCTTTATTGGAATATAATTGTTTTACAATGGTGTGTTAGTTGCTGCTGTATAGCAAAGTGAATCAGCTATACATATACAGATATCCCCACATCTCCTCCCTCTTGCGTCTCCCTCCCACCTTCCCTATCCCACCCCTCTAGGTGGTCACAAAGCACTGAACTGATCTCCCTGTGCTATGCGGCTGCTTCCCACATTTGGTAGTGTATATATGTCCATGCCACTGTCTCATTTCGTCCCAGCTTACCCTTACCCCTCCCCGTGTCCTCAAGTCCATTCTCTACATCTGTGCCTTTATTCCTGTCCTGCCCCTAGTTTCTTCAGAACCTTTTTTTTTTTTTTTTTTAGATTCAATTTATATGTTTTAGCATACGGTATTTGTTTTTCTCTTTCTGACTTACTTCACTCTGTAGGACAGTCTCTAGGTCCATCCACCTCACTACAAATAACTCAATTTCGTTTCTTTTTATGGCTGAGTAATATTCCATTGTATATATGTGCCACATCTTCTTTATCCATTCATCTGTTGATGGACACTTAGGTTGCTTCCATGTCCTGGCTGTTGTAAATAGAGCTGCAGTGAACATTGTGGTACATGACTCTTTTTGAATTATGGTTTTCTCAGGGGATATGCCCAGTAGTCGGATTGCTGGATCATATGGTAGTTCTATTTTTAGTTTTTTAAGGAACCTCCATACTGTTCTTCATAGTGGCTGTATCAGTTTACATTCCCACTAACAGTGCAAGAGGGTTACCTTTTCTCCACACCCTCTCCAGCATCATACTGTTTTGATTACTGTAGCTTTGTAGTATAGTCTGAAGTCAGGGAACCTGATTCCTCCAGCACCATTTTTCTTTCTCAAGATTGATTTGGCTATCCAGGGTCTTTTGTGTTTCCATACTATCCTCTTTCTAATATGTCTTCCTGCCATCTGGAAATACTTCTTGGATAACTGTATGGGGAAACATTAGATGCACTGTGAGAAGCCAGTGGAAGGAGAGTTCTGGGGTGAGGATGGCTCTGGCTTCTGAAAATTACTCCAGCAGCCTCTCCTTATTTCTAGGGAGCCCTAAATAAATATAAGTTTTTAAACTCTCATTTTAAGTATTTTCAGAAAACCTGAATAGAAAGAAATCTCAGAGTGCACACCAGACTGCCATTCAGACTGCTAGAAATAGATTTAAATTGTTAGGCTTAATGGAAATCTGGGTGAGGCACTATGATTTTTGAGAAACAAGAAGCCAGGCCGAAAGGAAATACCTGCTATAATTAGACAATATTAAGATTTAATCCAGTTAATACCAATGCAAATAGTTCTTCCTTTTTCTCTCTCTCTCTCCCTCCCTCCCTGTTTTTGTCCTTCACTTCTCTTTTAAAACATTAAACCAATGTCTCTGAGATGATGCTTTTACATCACAAGTTAGATTGGGGTGATTTGTTCCCAAGGCAAAGAACTCCGGTCTTTTCCTAATTCATGAGGTGGGAGGTGGGGAAGGGTGGAGAGGGTGGGAAGTTAGGTTCATGGTATAATTTTTTTCAGTTTTAAGAATTTTTGTGTTACTTTTTCTTAAAAATAACCTGAAACACTTATGTGGACTAGAATCTAGACTCTTGTGTGAGGTGAGATCTGAGTTATCATTGAGTTTACTTATGAATAATTGAAGGTGTGCCACAAAGTGGCAGGACTCCAGTCATTCTGCCCTTAAAACAAGCTCAGAAACCACTGCCTGCAGAAGTGTGCTGAGACACCAGCTGTGTACCGTTCAGATTTTGGTCCAGGAGGGGAGCCACTGTGAGGTGTGGTTATGGTGACCCTCAGCTTCCCCGACTCGGCCAGCCCCAACTTGTCTGACCTTCCACGTACACTACTACACACCAGACCAGGAGACTTCCAGCCCCCATCTTCGTTCAGAAAACATTGTCATCGCAGGCAGTAGAACCTGCTCCAGGTAGGATGACCCAAATACATCTCGGAGGATGTTGTTCTGGAATGACCTGGCAACGTCAAAAGGATTTAGGAAGTGCCTTCCTTGCTTGGGTATAGGAAGAGAGACTCTGTTGCTGGTCAACGAAGTCTTCTTTCTCTCTAGCACTCCTTAAATGAACCCAAAAGGCAGGCAAGACCTATGAGTAGAGTGTTAAACCTCATCAGTTTCACCTTCTGAGCCTGGCCATGACAGGGAGTCCATAGTCTAGGGATGGGGGGGGTACCCCAACTCCAGTTCAGGATGGAGAATCCATGAATATTTCCCCTGGAGCCCGAGGTCCCCCACCCCACTGTTTGCTGATGACCTGCGTGGGAGAAGATGACTTTCATCAAATTAGGTACAAGGGAGACACAGCCTATCTCACTGTATGCTTTGCTAAGGACAAAATCAATTCCCTGGGAATCAATAGTTGGTGGCATTTGAAGATCCCATCCCAAACCTCACCTCATTACACCAGGCCACTGTGTTCAATATTTGCACCACAGCTAAAGAGGGGTTAATGGGATCCAAATCCACCCTGTAGGTGATTGTCTTTTATCAATTCTAATAAGTCACCAGTATTGGCAGTTTGCAGGCCAATTTTTCAGAACAGCCAATATTTAATAGACTACCTCAGATGATTAAGTGAAATGATTTCTTGGAGCAGTCCCAGACGTAGCTCTAAAAGTTGTCTCAGCTAATTATCTCAAAAGGAGAGAATCAATGCCACTTGCCAGTTTAAAAATGGTTTCTGCCAAGATTAGGGATTCTAAATCTAGGCTCTACATGCCCAGAAGGTCTATGGTGAGGCCCCAGTGGGACAGTGAGAACCTTAGGTTTACACAAAGTCGTGTGCATTTACATCCGTGTTCATCAAATTCCCAAATGGATCCAGGACCCTACAGAGGATAAAACTGCCAACCTGGATTTTGGGTGCCATTTGTTTTATAAGTCCATTTCTACAGTCTCTGATTAATTTTTCATTTTGATCTCTGCTTTTATCCTCTTACTCTATGTGGCCTTTATAAGTGGACCACTGTACCAAAAAAGCTACTAGCTGATTTATCAAACTGTTTTTGCAGCTAGGAAAGACACTGTATCATTTGTTTGGGAAGCTAACACCTCAGTGCCAGTTTCTCCCCTCCTTGCCCAGCATTAAGATGTTCAAATCTAAACCTGGAATAGTGTGGCCATGTTCAGCATCTTCAAAATAAAGGTAAACCTGAGATCCCCCCTCCACCCACAGATTACATTTAAAGTCAGATTTCCAAACATCCGAGGACAGTGTCTGTTTGAGTGTCTCAGTGGGATTACTAAATTACATTTGGCTTCCTGTGATGAGGTCTTTTCCTCCCCACACCCTGGCAATTACTTGCCAGTTAATACAATCAAGTAACCACCTTACAGCAGTTTTTCATTTTGAATGTCAGGGTAACATTTTCCTCACTCTCCTCTACCCACAATTTCCTGTACTTTCAAGGCTTGGGCTGCCCCCCCTTCCCCTCTTATTCAGCTTAAAACTGGGCAGGGCTGGGCTTCCCTGGTGGCGCAGTGGTTGAGAGTCTGCCTGCCGATACAGGGGACACGGGTTCGTGCCCCCGTCCGGGAAGATCCCACATGCCGTGGAGCGGCTGGGCCCGTGAGCCATGGCAGCTGAGCCTGCGCGTCCAGAGCCTGTGCTCCGCAACGGGAGAGGCCACAACAGTGAGAGGCCCGCGTACCGCAAAGGAAAAGAGAAAAAAAAACAAACAAAAAACAACAACAACAACAAAAAACTGGGCAGGGCTATGGGTAGTGAAGAATATTCATGTGAACGTCTGAGTGAAGGACTTCTGCCTACTTCCTTTCTAAATGCACCAGTCAGATGGAAGCAGTAAGTTCAACAAGGGCTGCATAAAAAGCCTTACAAATCGGCAGGCTGTCATGTTTGGGAACCCAGATTACCTCCTGGCACTATCTGGTGTCTCCAGAAAACAAAGCCCTCCTGTTCAGGAAGTTCTTTACCACCTACGCATTCATTCCCTATTCCCCCCCAGGGCCCACCTGGGAGAGATGTTAGGTGGGGATGAGTCAGCAGCACCTGCATGGTGCTGTCCTCCTGGAAGAACTTGCACTGGTATCTCTGTCCATTTTTGTCCTAGTGACCGGCTCACCTCAGGTGGATGCAGGCAACCCTGATGACCTTCTACCCTAGTGCCAGAAGACTGAACTCCCTTCCTTACTTTGCCGCTAGCTATGTGACCCCGGACAAGTTACTTAACGTCCTTCCACTGCTGTCAAATGGAGGTAATGATGTCGACATGACAGGGGTGTTGAGATGATTAACTTAGGTGAAATACACAAAGTCATTAGCATTTATGTTAGGTTTCTTCTCATTCATAAACTGGGGATAATACTACCTAACAATATATACTATACTATAATATGATATAATCCTATTTAGTAATAGCCTACGAAGGCTTGAACTCTGTGGAAGGCTGCAAGGAGTGAATGTGCCTCAGTATTTTAAAAAATGTGTGATTTGGAGGTTAAAACCTTTGAAACATGATGCCACAAAGGCATGAGTAAAACTACAGCAGGCTTTCCTAAAGTTTCTCCTTTTGGAACAAAAGAGAAAGTAAACTGACAAAGAGCCCTGAAATCAAATGTTTGGAAAACTCCACAGTGTGTATATTCCTTTTGGAGGTTCACATTACACATTAGTATCTTAAAGTCCTGTGATTTAAAAAGAATGTTTATGATAAACTTGGTATTTTCACATTTACTTGACCACTTAATAAAAAGGACACTTTTATTCATGTCACACTGTTCATATTCCTGATTCAATGTAACACACTTTGAGATATGCTAAATCACCCTATTCCTAGTGTAGGCTAACCAAGAATTGGATGACACCAATTGCTGTGATAATTTTAGGGACAGATTTTAAATTGAATTGGAAATCAAAATGGGGGCGTTCTGTGACTATTCACTTAGTCATCGGAAAATTTTTAACTTATGATTGAAAAAGATGGACTTCTCACAAAAGATGGGTTCTATATCTTCTGGATTCAGATATACCAGCATCTTGTTTAACCAAAAAAAATGTCATTTTTGATGTATATGGATTTTTAAATCTAATATGTCTGGTACTCAGGATCATCAAGGCACACAAGAAAGAAGTAGAGAGACCTTTATCCAGATATTCACATATTTTTTGCCACCTTCAGCTGAAGCTGGATTGGGATGTTTGTTTTTGTCATCACAGTTGTGAACATTTTGTCTTTACCCAAGGACAAAAGCCTCCAGAGTTTCACATCCAGCAGCTTATGCAAGAGGGTCTGTTGTTTATATATGCTACCCACTATGCATGTATTTTTCTTTTTAATCCTCCACACAACCTTTCAATGTAGGTATTATTTCCTCCATCAGATGAGCAGACTGAGGCTCAAAGTCATTAGGTTAACTTGCTTATAGAAAGATGTGGAACCTGGGTCTCAAAAGCCATGTTGGCTAACTAAAAAGCTTGTGCTCTTTCTAATCCTTATATCACCTTCACTCCTCTTCCCCAAGATGTCTGGAGCTTTCTGTGGTGGCAGGATCTCATATTCCACACCTTTTCTTACCTCCGTAAAGTTACACCTGTCTTAGTGCTATAGACTGAATGTTTGTGTCTCTCCAAAATTCATATATTGGAACCTAATCCTCAAAGTGATGGTATTAGGAGGTGGAGCCTCTGGGAAGGGATGAGATCATGAAGGTGGAGCCCTCATGAATGGGATTAGTACCCTCAGAGAGCTCCCTCATTCCTTCTGCCATGTGAGGACACAGCAAATACACATATATGAACCAGGAAGTGAGCCCTCACCAGACATTGAATCTGCTGGTGACTTGATCTTGGACTTCCCAGCCTCCAGTACTGTGAGAAATAAATTCTGTTGTTTAATAGCCACCCACACTCTGGCATTTTGATATAGCAGGCTGAATGGACTGAAACACTTAGGAGGAAAACCATATGATCATTTTAATCAATGCAAAAAAAAGCATTTGATAAAATTCAGCACCACTCATGATAAAAACTCTTAGCAACTAGAAACTTCAAGTTCATAAGGGCATCTACAAAAAATCCAATAGCTAACACCTTACTTAATGGTAAAAGATTAAACTTTCTCCCTAAGATCAGAAGCGAGACAAGGTTACTTGCTTTCACTTCCACTCAATGTTGTACTAGAGGTCCTAGCCATTGCAGTCAGGTAAGAAAAAGAAATAAAAGGCATAAAGATCAAGAAAGAACAAATAAAACTCTCCCTGTTTGCAGATGTTATGATTGTTTATATATAAAATCCCAAAGAATCTACAAAATAACTAATAGAACTAATAAGTGAATTTAGTACAGTTGCACAATACAAAATTATTACAAGAAAATCAATTGTATTCTTATACAGTAGCGGCAAAAAATTGGAAAATGAGATTTTAAAAAAGCAATTCCATTTATAATAGCACCACAAAACATAAAATAGTTATAAATAAGTCTAATAAAAGATGCTCAAGTCTTCCATGCTGAGAACTACAAATCACTGCTGAGAGAAATTAAAGATATAATTAAATGGAAAGCTCTACTGTGTTCATTGATTGGAAGAATCAATGATATTGATTCTTATATTGAGAATATTGATTCAAAATGGATTCAATATTCTCCTTAAATTGATCTACAGATTCAACATATTCTCAATCAAAATCCCAGGAAGATCTTTTGTGAAGATTGACAAGCTTATTCTAAAATGTATATGGAGATGTAAAGAACATAGAATAACCAAAGCTAACTTTAAAAAGAACAAAGTTGGAGGACTTACTCTACCTGATTTTAAGACATTATATAGCTATAGTAATCAGGACAGCTTAGTGCAACTACTTTGAAAAATAGTTTGGTAGTCTATCAAAAAGTTAAATATCCAGGGCTTCCCTGGTGGCGCAGTGGTTGAGAGTCCGCCTGCCGATGCAGGGGACACGGGTTCGTGCCCCGGTCTGGGAAGATCCCACATGCCGCAGAGCGGCTGAACCCGTGAGCCATGGCTGCTGAGCCTGCGCGTCCGGAGCCTGTGCTCCGCAACAGGAGAGGCCACAACAGTGAGAGGCCTGCGTACCGAAAACAAAGAAAAAACAAGTTAAATATCCATCTACTAAATGACCTGGCCATTCTATTCCTAGGTATTTACCCAAGAGAAATGAAAACGTGTTCACAGAAGGCTTGTACCGAAATGTTCCTAGCAGCCTTATTTGAAATGGTTCCATATGGGTCAAAACACAAATGTCCATCATAGGTAAATGGATAAAGAAACTATGGTGTATCAATATAATGGTATGTTTCTCAGCAAAAAAAGGAACAATCACTACATGCACAAACATGGATGAACCTTAAAATAATTATGCTGACTGAAAGAAGCCAGTTACCTTCTCATAAAAATACATGCATGATTTCATTTATTTCAAGGTTTTGAACACGCACACTAATCTATTGTGATAGAGAGCAGATCAGTGGCTGCCTCAGGAAGGAGGGAGAGGAAGGAATGGACTACACAAGGGCACAAGGAAACCTTCAGGGGTTATGGAAATAAATGTTCATTATCTTGATTGCGTTGATAGTTTCATGGGGTAAACATTTGCCCAAACTCATCAAGTTGTACAGTTTTAATTTCTGTGGTAAAGTCAGTTACCTTAGTAAAGTTGAAAAACATTACACCTGTCCTGGCCCATGTGTTCAGAGCTTGTTCCCAGTTTCCTAAGGATCAGATCATAAGTAGTAAAATAACGGAGGGACTTTTGAGAATTTAAAGGACCATCAAAGGCAGGAGTTTCCATGAAGATGAGACTCATTTTCTTTTTAAACAGGGTTCTTAGCATGGGAAAGCAAAGGAGCGTGTAGGCGCCTGTTGAAGGGATGTTAGCAGGCATTTGCTGTGCTCTGATGGTGCCTGGTGAACAGGACCTGGAGGTGCGGAGGTGCACTGATTGCATGAAGAGGCAGGTGGATGGCGGTGGGAGGTTGAATGACCCAGATGGTGCGGATGAGGGGCCTGACATCACCCAGAGGGTGGTGTCTACTGACAGCCACCTGCCCCTGCCTTGGCCCACTTCTGCTTGGCGTTTTCATCAGTGACTTAAATGAGAACATAAATTATATGCTTGTTAAATATACATTCAGCAAATAATCTATTGAGTCCTACAACATGACAGGCACTGTGCTGGCCCCGCACAGATAGATCTTGGGAGCAGACAACTGGGCCGCCCAGAGTTTGAACAAGAAAGAAAAGCAGTGAGACATACATACTCACAAATAAGGTCAGGGGGCCGAGAGGCTGCATGAGTCTGGCCTTGGGTGGTTTGGGCTTTGGCTCTGAGAGGAGGGCAGCAAAGAGGATTAGAGCCACAGAGTGACATGGGCAGGTTGGCGGTTAGAATTGACTTCTGCAGATACTGGAGGGGAGATGGTGAAGGTAGAGCAGGCAGGTGGCCCACGAGAGAGAGGAGGGGGCCTGAGCTGGACAAGGGGTGGGGGCCACGCACGCAGCCTCCCAAAGGTGCTACCCAGCCCTGACATCAGCCCCTGCGACAGTAGCCTGTGACACCATGCCGTCTTCCTGGAGGGTGGAAGCAGCAGGTCCCCTGCCCCTTGGTCCACCCCCGCTCTCCAGCTCAGGCTCTGCCCGTCCTGCTCTGTGACAGTGAGCATCGTGTGTCTGAGCTTATCTCTGATTGTCCCAACCTGTGCCCCTTAAAAAAGCATGTGGATTTTGGTGTCAACAGATTTGCCTACAAATATTGGCTCCATTACTTATTAGCTATGACTCTGGGCAAGTTTCTAAACTTTCTGAGCCTCCGTTTTCTCTCTATAAAATGGGCATAAAAGTATCTGCCCCGGTAGGATTATTATGAGGATTTAAGCCTTTTTATTGTGTAAAATTTAGGCCTTTCCTCAGCTTTTGCCCCAGTGAGTCAGAATTGCTTTCTGGCCTTCATTTGAGACACAGGGACAGATGACAACAAAATTAGTAAATGTAAAAGATCGGAATTGGAAATGTTACACATTAGCTTCTAGGGCCAGGACATGTCTAGGCAGATACAAGGTCCAGTGCAATCACCCTGTTCCATTTGGATGAACGTCATTAAAGCCTCGAGGTGGAGAGGTCCTCAGTGGCCCCCATGCTGAGCTGGAGGGGATATCAGGGATGCCCTCTCCTGCATGACACAGGCTGTCCCATGCCAAAGACTCTTGCTTAGTGATTCTCAACTGAGGGATTTTGCCCTCC